TTTGCGACTTGCAGTGCAGGTCTATGAAGGACGCAATATTACAGCCAGGCCACACGACACGATTGAAGACCAGCAGATGTGTGACCTTCTTGTGCAGATTTTGGACAATCAAAATTTCTGTCCAGATCATTTCATCGAAACCACTGACACGCTGGACATTTTATACAATGAATACGAAGGTACTGAACAACCTGATGAGCCACCTGATAGCGATGTACCAGTCAGTCGGTAATCAAGCGATGACGAGCAGTCATCACCTTCAAGCTACCACCTGCTTGATTCCTAATATAAAATATACTGAAGAAATACCCGTCAAAAATAGCAACAACAAAAAAAAATTTGAAACCCATTCCCATTCATTGCACATTACACCACAGACTCAATGAAATTTTATAGAAGTTAATGCTGATGGTGTTCTAGGATTCTCAAAGTTCTGTCCTCGAACATTAGAAGGAACATGGAATCACAGTAACAAGTGCAAGTTATTCCAACGTGTTAAAAATTAACTGAGACCAACCATAAGGTTATCAAAAGGTGATCTCTTCTGACACAATTTCATGAGTTTCAGAAAGCAAGGCATATCAGTGGATGATAAGAAAATAAAGTGACAATATAAGCAGTAAATAACCATAATGCCAGTTCAAAATTTATATCATTATGTATGTTATTTCTTACAATGCAATGAGACTGGGAAACTTTAGTGACATTCTGATTATGTGTTATTAGATCTGACATACATGATTTATGTTAACTATTTGCAATAAAGATAGAACTACAAACTCTGAAGTTATGAAAGTGATAACAATGATGTCCAAGCAAGTGAAGATATATTGTCAGTATTTTCAGTATTTACAAACATGTGGATGGAATCTAAGCACACTCTTAACCCCCCCCCCTCCAAATCCCTAACATTTGGATCATGTTGGGACATTTGGTGTTTGTAGACAACCCTGCATGTTATAAGATTCCTTAATATCCATTGTTCACAGTTTATGAAATTTAGATTATTTCAACATGAAAGAAAAATTTGTTTTAGGTGGAGATTTTGCAGAGGATATTCAGATGTAAATTGCAAGTGGACTTGGGAGTGATGTCACAGAATAATTCTGTCTGTTAACTGGATTTGTTGCCTCAAGAGTAACAGCTAGCAGTCAATCTCTGAAAGGCTCGCTAGTCTTCGCAATGGAACAGGCTGATGCAGCACAGGGTGAGTGCGCTTTATTGGTTGATTTCAGGTTCAAATGACTGTTTTATAGGTTGTTATGCCATGTAGACTGGTAGAAATTTGTAGACACAAAATATGTTATTCCCAAAATTTTGTTATGTTGCATCATATCCTTTAGCACCAAAAATGATTTACTTACATGTAAACTGATTCATTCGTAACATGTGTATTAACACTAAAGAATTTTATGTAAGAAAATCCTTTGTTATGAAACCACATCAATTTTGGATAAACATATTCACCATATGGCACCATGCGGCACGACGTACATACAAAATTTCAACAATCTCTGACCTTCCATGGTCTATTTCGAAAATTCGTGGGCAGGTCGTCAAGCTCAGCTGACGCAGATTACCGCTATAGGGTTGAGTTAGGTTAGATTAGGTTAGGTTAATGGGGCATCTGCGCAGAAGGTGATGCGCAGTGACGTGTGCAAGTTGTCTATGATAGGCATCGTTTGAGTTCTATTTTCGATTGCGGGAAATTAAAAACCCGAATATATCAATGTTCTTAAATTATAGAGCAATCTAGTGTTTGAGTCACTACCATACCTTTATACGAGGTGCGATCGAAAGGTTACCAGACTGCGCGTATAAAAACCCGTACACTTATCTGAGGTATTAAATTCATCCATCACCCTCGAAGTAGTTCCCCTGGGAGTGAACACAACGATCCCAGCGCCGCTGCCAAGCCTGGAAGCATCCCTGGAAATCTTTCTTTGCCAGCCTGTCAAGCACCATCTGCGATTCTGCCTGAATCTCTTCTATCGTCTCAAATCTCCTTCCCTTTAGCTGAATTGTCATCTTTGGGAAGAGGAAGAAGTCACACGGAGCTTAAAAAGGAAGTTGGGGTCGGTTCTTGCAAGATCTTTAAACTCCTGACAAACGAGAAGTCGATTCTGCTTCTAGTCCTCTGACAGGATGCGTCGCATGTGGAGTTCTTCCTTTAGAATCAGCTAACAGGTCCCATAGCCTATCCCAACAATGTCGCACAAATCGTTGATGGTACGACGTCGATCTTCGTAACAGTTTCGGGCGTTGTGCTCGAAGATGGTCGTCCAGAACGCTCGTCATCATCGACAGAGGTTCGGCCATTTTTAAAACGTGAATGCCACACAAAAGTTTGTGCACGACCCATTGCGGACTCCCCAAATGCTGGCTTTAGCATTTCATAGGTTCCGGTAGCCGTTTTGGCGAGTCTTTGGCAAAATTTGATGCACACGCCATTCCGAAATCGCAGGAGGGTCGGTGTAATGCACTACCAAAACGCCCGTAACTAAGAAACAAATGCTAATTCGATGATGCCGGCTGGCACACTGATTCACTATGAATGTAGGCCGCACCCCCTAGCAGCAGAAGCTCGTACTACATCCGGTTCGCACTCTATTGACACAGTCTTGAAACTTGCCGATCGCACCTCGTAT